AACTGCTATGGAATTTCAATCCTCCTAAATGGCAGTGAATGCTGGACTATTTCCTTACAGATGAAGATGAGACTTGAGGTAACAGAAGTGGTTCTACAGAAGGATGCTGAGAATACCATATACTGAACATGTGAGTAAAATCTTAAGTAAAATCTTAAGAAAAATGGAAACTAAAAGGACTTAGAATCAGAAAGAGTCAGTTGAACTTTCTAACACATGTAATGAGGAAAGTGGGCTTGGAGAATTTGACACTTACAGAACATATTGAGAGCAAAAGGCTCAAAAGAAAACATTGAGTAACCTAACAAACTTGTGGAAATGGATAATAGAATGGACTGGAAGGGATAGTAAAGAGATAAAAGAAGAAGAATAGGAAGTTGTGGAGAGCCATAATCAGCCTACTTAACAGGTAAGTGGATAACAGAACATGGAATGAGAGAGATAGTAAGAAGATAAATAATTCTTATAGCTACAAGAATAGGAAGTTGTGGAGAGCCATGATCAACCTACCTAATAATCTTGTGTAAATAGGTGGCAGAACAGGGACTGTGAGATGTAGTAAGGAGCTAAATATTTCTTATAGCTCCAAAAGATAGGAAATTGTGGAGAGCCATGTTCAACCTACCTGACAGGCTTGTGTAAATGGATGGTAGAACAAGGTTTGGAAGGGATAGTAAGGGGTAAACTTTACTTTAAGCTATTCAGAATAGGAAGTTGTGGAGAGCCATGATCACTCGTCATGTCCTGAAGAGACACACCACAGATCAAAAATAAATGTCTGCCATTATATATGAATGAACATGAACAGGAAAATAAACTCAACTTCACAATTTCCCAAATAGCAAAGCAATGTCACTGTATGCAGCTAGTCATTCTCTAATGGCAAGAGATAAGAACTGTACATAACTATCTCTATTCAAACATTGTAACATTCAAATAAGAAGCTTCATTCGCAAACATGGATAAACATGCTTACAATAAGACAGAGTGTCAAAAAAACTGTTTTTTTTCCCATGACACAGTTTTTATTTTAACTAGCTTCACTCTTTGGCAATATTTGTTACTTTAAAAAGTAATGATTAGAACTATAATAAAATTTATACAAATGAAAGTGAATTTATACATTTTCTTTGATCTTGAGAATTTACAACAAATATAATAAACAATATTTATTAGATTCTTTATTTACACTATTTATTTATATTATTTATTGGAATAGTTGGCAAAACTAGTTAATTGTCAATCGATTCAAACTTTATAAAATAATAAATAAGGATTTCCTTATAGTTTGTACACATATTTTAATAATTTAGTAAATGTTTTTAAATTTATGAATAATAATTTTTTTCACATTTATTTCTTTTATAAATTGGTAAATGATAAATATTGCATTGCTATAGTTCTAACTGTATTAGTTTTAGAATGTTGTAAATATCAAATTATTTTTATAAATAGACAATCTAATAGTCTTTAATATTTTTGTTATAAATTCTCAAGAAGAGAAAAAATGTATAAATTCACATTTATTATATGTTTAGGTTTTATTATAATTCTAATCATTGCTTTTTAAAATGATAAACATTGCCAAAGAGTGAAGATAATTAAAAAAAAGCAGTTTCATGGGGAAACACTGTCCTTTTAACATTACATCATATTGTGGGCACATTTATCCATGTTTGCTGATTTTTCTTTCTTTTGTCAGCATCATCTTGATCAGAAAGATGAGAAGTCTGTTGGTTCTGATAAAAAGGATCCTTTATTCATGGATCAGTTCACCTGGCATTGACTGTTGGTAGGTAAATGACACTTGGGAGAGCTTCTATCTTCTTTCATGATGAACTAACAGACCAGATGTTCCCTTTGGCCTTCTGTTATCTCTTGACACTGACTCTCCCATATGACTACTCCTGGCTAGAATGCTACATGACTATATAAGCAAATGATCAGAATTCTCTACCTTCCAGCTGTGTGTCACTTGATCCCAAAAGTTCTTATTTTATTTACTTTTTCTTAAAGCAGATTTGAAACTTTCACATATCAATTTTACTGTTTGTTGTCATAAAACTGCTGGCACTTCAGGCCCAGATAAAATTGTTTACAGACCGCTTGACTGTGAGTGTCTTAACCAATCAAGTTGGAACCAATTGTGTCATGATACTTTTTATATATAAACTGGTGTGTAAAAGATTTGGGACAACTACATAAAATGATTATGTACTCTTTTATTTTATTAAGAAATTACAATTGTTTAGCAGTAGTGTCTTTGGACCATGAGGATAGGAAAATAAGTTGCTGTGTTTTTGTAAGTGTCATTTAACAGACGATACACCACTTTAAACAGATTGAAGCTGAAAAAGGTTCATGCAAAACTATTGGGCCAATGAAAGATCTGAGATGATAATGTCATGATTATATGTAGATTTCTAAATAGGAATGTTTCATTTTATTAACATGAGTGTAAGGTGCCTCGGTAAGTCATTGTTCTTGGACATTAGCTTGTATTTTTTATACTAAAATCATGACTAAAATAAAGATGAAGGCCGTGACTTTCATGGGAAACCTTACTCACTGAGAATTTTCAAAAATGGTGTTAAAACCATCCAAAAGACATTTGCTACTACTGGAAGTTTTTTTAAATGCAAAGAAAATCAGAAGACTACAAAATTTAAAGAGAGATAAAAGGAATATTGTGAAAGTCTCTGTAGGAATTCCAACATTAAGAGAATGAAAATTAATGAAATGAAATGAAAAGTTAATTTTGAATACAGACTTAACAATGAAGTTTTGCTTCTTACACAGTACATAGAGTATTATGAAAAAAAAACACAAACAATTTGTACAACAGCAAAAAACATTAACTAAAAAAATTCTCAAAAAATTGAAATGGTCGAAAGGACATCTGACAAGGGATGTTGAAAATTGGCAAAAAGTAATTTTTAGTGATAAATGCAAAATAGTTACCTGTCTATACTATAAGATATGGTATTATGATTACTTGCATTATTTATATTATTTGGATTGTTATTCTCAAGAACACATGGCCCAGTGGATAAAGATATTGGTTAGATCCAGTGACTAGACCCAAAAAGTTGTGACTTGTGAGTGCAATACCAGGCCACAGCAGTGGTGAACCAAAAACTTGGTTGGGTTAAACTGAGACATCCAGAAGAGGCATGGCATGTGGAAATAGAACAATCTACTCCAGTGGATGAAATAAAGAGTTTAGTTCAAAATTCCAATCACCAAAAGAAGGTCAGAGCATATAATTGTGAATATACCAATGAAGATTAGGATAACAGTCCAAATAATGTAAATAATGCAAAATAGTTAGAATGCAAGAGAATATGTAAGAAAACCAGTGGGAAAAAAAAATTGCAACATACACCACAAAAATATTAAAATTTAGTGGTGGACATGTAATGGTGTGGGTTGGTGGGGTACATCAAATGCAATGGTAGAAGAAAATTGGTAAAGGCTGATGTAAACCTGAACAGCAAAAATTATATTAGTTTACTACAATCTAATCTTCTGCCAGACTATGAAGAGGGAGACATTTTTCAACATGATGGCACTCCTTGCCACTCATCATGTGCAACAAAATTGTTTTTTGTTGATGAAGATGTTTAATGTTTGGAAAACTGGCCAGCATGATGTCTTGTCAATATAATTGAAGCATTGGGGTGGGAACTGAAGAAATAAGTGCTCCAACAAAGGCCATGCAATCTCAAAAGCTAAAATGAGTAGAGGGAGGGAATTCCCAACAAGAAAGTCTGGACCGTGTTCTATTCAATGTCACATCGAGTTGAGGCAATTATTTGAACCAAACGAAGCAACATAACTTTTTGCAAAAAAACAAAAAACAATTCCTTTTGAACTTAAGAGCTGAAAGGTGAAATTTTCACTGGTGGCTCAGGATTTTTGTATGGCTTTTTTCAGCACCCCTATGTTTAAAGATTCACTATTATCCATTGTCCAGCATGAACGAAAATGCAGTAACTTGTTTTTTGGCTCTCAAATGTACTGAAAAAAGCATACTACTAATCACTCTCAACTTTGGGGCAAAAGTAATTAATTTACAAAGGTCGCCCAAAAGTTTTGCATGCAGTGTATATTTAATATTTTGTATAATATGAAATACAATGTAATTTGATGTATTTATTGGTCATGCAGCATGTTCTCCTCTATTTGAAGTAATGAGATATTCTACTGTTAACAGAAGACATTATTTTACACTAATAAGCAATACAGTTATCTTGCTCTTACGATTTTAATATTTGAGTAAACTAGTCTATACAAGGGAATGCTGAAACATGCCTAGCCTGGACTACTTTCCACAATCAGATTTTTGGAATGGCTTCTTGGTCTGGCTGGTAACTTTTCTGAACCCCCTTGTATATGAATTTTGTTTTTTAGGAAAAGTAGATTACCTATTTGCTTGGTAATGAGCACTGCATTTATTTTTACTGCTTTCTGTATCATGTTGTGTCGGCATTTTTTTTGCAAGATAAATAAAAGGCTGAATACATCAGAGACTAATGGCACTATAGATATATGGAAGTCTCTTCCCAAGATGCTCTTGTAGATTTATTGAAGTAATTACGCCAACTGAACTGTTTTTTTTTTGTTTTTTTTGACATGTTTGTATTTCTTGTGAAATATCAATCTTTCTTTATTCCTTGGTCGGTCGATGCTGTCTTTCAGAGTCAACCAATCACTCAGTCTCTGAAGACTAGATTGAAATCATCAAAGTGTGAATGAGCAGATTAAGAAAATGGGGCAAACTCTTTGCCTGATTCTTGGATTTTTTTCTGCCTTCTTTTTTTATTTTTTTGTTTTAGACACTTTTGCATTTATTTTGATCCCAAATTGCTTTTTTTTTGTTTTTTTTCTTTTTTTCTTTCTTTCTCTTTCGTTTTTTCTGTTTATCATTCACACTTTCATTCTTTCTTGAATTTGTTCTTTTCCTTTTCTTTGCTTCATCATTCTCTTCTTATCTTCAGTATTTTCCTTCAATTTTTTCATTTATTCACTCCACCTTTATTTCTTTCTTTCTTACTCATTTTTCCTTTTTTTCATTTATTTTTCTATTTTTGTTTTTCATTCAATTATCTTTTCCTTTTTCTTTCATTCCTTCTTTTTCCTTTCTCTCATCCCCTTTCATTCATTTATTATTCTCATCTCATTCTTTATCAAACTTTCTTTATTTCACTTATTTTCTTCATTTTTCTTTTATTTCATTAATCTGAATTTCTTCTTTCTAACAGTTAACTTTTGTTTTGGTCATTCTTTTTTTTTTTCTTCATTTTTTTTCTTTTTTTTTCTTTTTTTTCTTTCTTTTTTTTTCTTTCTTTTTTTTCCTTTTTTTTCTTTTTTTTCTTTTTTTCTTTTCTTTACTTCCTTTTACTCTCTTCCTTACTTTCTTTTCATCCCCTCTTCTTTACTTACCTTTTTCATTTCTTCTTCTTTATTTCCTTTTCTTCTCTTCCTTTTTACTTTCTTTTTTCTACTCTTCTTTAATTTATTTTTTCTCCTCTTCTTTACTTTCTGTTCTTCTCTTCTTTTGTTCCTTTTCCTTCCCTCTTCTTTACTTTCTTCTTTTTCATCCTCTTCTCTACTCTCTTTTCATCTCCATCTTCTTTACTTTCTTTTCTCCTTTTCTTTACTTACTTTTTTCTCTCTTCTTTACTTACTTTTTCCTCCCCCTTCTTCTTTACTTCCTTTTCCTCCCCCTTCTTCTTTACTTCCTTTTCCTCCCCTTCTTCTTTACTTCCTTTTCCTCCCCCTTCTTCTTTACATCCTTTTCCTCCCCCTTCTTCTTTACATCCTTTTCCTCCCCCTTCTTCTTTACTTCCTTTTCCTCCCCCTTCTTCTTTGCTTCCTTTTCCTCCCCCTCTTCTTTACTTCCTTTTCCTCCCCTCTTCTTTACTTCCTTTTCCTCCCCCTCTTCTTTTGCTTCCTTTTCCTCCCCCTCTTCTTTACTTCCTTTTCCTCCCCTCTTCTTTACTTCCTTTTCCTCCCCTTCTTCTTTACTTCCTTTTCCTCCTTCTTTACTTCCTTTTCCTCCCCTTCTTCTTTTCTTCCTTTTCCTCCTTCTTTACTTCCTTTTCCTCCCCTTCTTGTTTACTTACTTTTCCTCCTTCTTCTTCTTCCTTTTCCTCCCCTCTTCTTTACTTCCTTTTCCTCCCCCCCCTCTTCTTTAATTCCTTTTCCTCCTTCTTCTTTACTTCCTTTTCCTCCCCTTCTTCTTTACTTCCTTTTCCTCCCCCTTCTTGTTTACTTACTTTTCCTCCTTCTTCTTTACTTCCTTTTCCTCCCCCCTCTTCTTTACTTCCTTTTCCTCCCCCCTCTTCTTTACTTCCTTTTCCTCCCCCCTCTTCTTTACTTCCTTTTCCTCCCCCTCTTCTTTTCTTCCTTTTCCTCCCCCTTCTTCTTTACTTCCTTTTCCTCCTTCTTTACTTCCTTTTCCTCCCCCTTCTTGTTTACTTACTTTTCCTCCCCTTCTTGTTTACTTACTTTTCCTCCTTCTTCTTTACTTCCTTTTCCTCCCCTCTTCTTTAATTCCTTTTCCTCCCCCCCCTCTTCTTTACTTCCTTTTCCTCCCCTTCTTCTTTACTTCCTTTTCCTCCCCCTTCTTCTTTACTTCCTTTTCCTCCCCTTCTTCTTTGCATCCTTTTCCTCCCCCCTCTTCTTTACTTCCTTTTCCTCCCCTTCTTCTTTTTTCCTTTTCCTCCCCTTCTTCTTTACTTCCTTTTCCTCCCCCTTCTTTACTTCCTTTTCCTCCCCCTCTTCTTTTTCCTTTTCCTCCCCCTCTTCTTTAATTCCTTTTCCTCCCCTTCTTCTTTTTTCCTTTTCCTCCCCCTTCTTCTTTACATTCTTTTTTCTCACTGTTTTTTACTTTCTTTCTCATCTTCTTTACTTCTTTTTTTTCTCATTAAAAACCTTTTTAAATTATCCCAAAGGAAGAAAATCTATGGTTATAGTACAATGAAATCCTATTTGTGTCAACACGGCCTCCTTGGATACAGTGACTTTAAAATTAGATGATCATGGCTTTATATATGTTATTACACATCACAAGTAAAAATAATCGGTCTTCTTTTTCCATTCTTTGTGTAAGATACTTGGAAGGAACGATGAAAAGATGGGAGAAATCAACAGTAAAACAGGAATAGAAGATAGAGAGCAGAGGCTCATGGGAAATGAGTGGGAGGAAGACTGGGCTTTTATAATTAAGCTTATACTTTTGTCAGTTTTCTCCTTCATCTTCAAATTCCTGCATTCATTTCTTGCATTATGCAATTTTATTGTTCTTTAAATCAGCTCTAACTCTGGCATTTCAGCTAAGTTGGTATTCAGCCAGCAGTACCCCAAGAAATCATTTTGATAAGGGGATTTTTCTGTCAATTCACCCCAAAATATAAAGAATTTATATTAACTAAAATTTACACCAAATTCTCCCAGAGTCAGACTCTTCCATTGCACGCTAGTTGATTTGACCTTTGCAATCTCCCAAAATGTGGGCAACTCTAATATGCTATTTCTAAGTGTGGGGTCAGCATTCATGCCCAACCCAATGAACAAGCCAAAACCAAATTCTATTTCTTTTTTTTTTAAATTTTAAAAAATTGTTTGTAAGTACTTTGAATATTATCCACACTTACAAAATGTGAAGAACTCCCTGATTTTTGGTAATTTTTCATTCTGTGGGTTGGAGTTAATTGTGAGTCAAGCTAGGGTGCCAAAAATTTAATAAAAAAAGACAAACAAACTTTGATTTAAAGATTATTATTTCTTGGGGTGAATTAATATTTGCAATAAGTAACTTTACCTGATTTTGTGTGAATTAACAGAAAAGATCTTTGTGGGTTAAAAGTGCAGACAATACAAGTCTTTTGATACAGAAACCTGATAGCTTATTGGCTAAGTGAAGAATTTAAAGAATTCTTTAAAGGCAGTTTTTTTTTTATTTTCATCATTTCACCCCAAGCAAGGCAATAAAGCCACTAAGACACAAGGGAAATAAACTGAAGAAATGTTGAGGGGAGGGGTTATTAAAAGACCAGGATTGTCAGAAACAGAAGATAATGACTAAAGTTTCATTTAAAATTTTCAAGACTATAGTTGACCGGGAAGCAAAAAGCTGGAATAGTTCCACAAGCAAGAAATGCAAGGGAAGAAACCATTTTCATAGAACTTATATTTCAACAGCAAAGGTAAATGGCACAGACACTCAAATCCAAAGATGCCTGTCTATTAGGGCGGCTACCTAATCCCTATTGCAGACGCCTGCTCAGACACATTATGTGTTTGTTCAACACCCACAGAGCCCACCTGTGGTTTATACTGTAACTATGCTGAGCAGACTTTAGTTACAGTTTTTGGAAGAGAGTGCAGTGATCTAGCATGATCCACAATTTGAACAAGGCTAGCACACTCAAACCCTCAGTGACGATGACTTGACTTCATGCTAGCACAACTACTGACGGCTCGCAAGGGTTCTGTCTACCCAATTTAACTCACAAGGCTTGGGTCAACCTGTAGTCTGGTTTTCAGGCACTTTCCAAAGGTGCAGCATGCTGGGATTGACCCCTCCAGTCTGATAAAATCAAGAAGTCACCTTCCTGACAAATCAACCATAGTGAGATTTGAACCGGGATCTCATGGTCAGAAAGTGAACCTTCTAAACACTCAGCCATGTGCACATATGAAACCTAACTACCAATCTAATAATGTGCTTAAATTTGTGAAGAGGCATATGAATATTGTTTAGCATTTAACAAGTAGGTATTTTTTTTTATCAAAAGTTTAATATCTTTTGATAGTGCATGTGTGTTTGGGTATCAACCAATGGGGTCATAAAACACAAAAAAAAATTGTGTGCCGACATTAAGTTCAATCGCAAATCTGTTCTAAGCAGGCAACGTAGTAACGGAAACAGGGCCAGAAATCCAACCTCCCCCCCCCTCACGACAGCAGAAACACACTTTCACTTACCAAGCTCAAAATTGTACTAATCACTGTAAGCAAAAAAAGCAACAGCTTTTATTCACCAATGGATTTTTCTGATTGGCCACACCATTCATGGAGGAAAGGATATTAGCATAGTTTCTCTGATACATAAAGTAGCAGCTTTTTGCCAACTATTTTCTTTAATTTTCCTTTGGCAGACCATGCACAAAATGCAAACTGTTTTTTGAGGTAGGTGATTTTTCTCTTTCGTTACAATGTGTTAAACAATGCACATGATATAAAATCTGTCTGCAATGCAGGCTCACATTCCTAGATGTCAATTTCTTAGGGAGAGAACTGATGATGAACATTTTACAGAGATAATCAAACCAGTTAAATGTACTCGTGAAATTCTATTCTGCTTTGTGTGACAGCTGAAGTCATTGCCTAGCCATTGGCAATTAATAATGCTTTCAGGCCAGCAAATGGTTTCAGAGATATTATCTTGTGTGGAAGGCATTGTCTGAAAGAGTCATCTGAGTTGGGGAACTGTTCAATCATACTGGCAACAGTTAATTCATGTCTTGTGTTAATTATGAACATGTATTGTCCAGGATTCATGGCTTATTGACTGGTGAAGCCCTGCTGAGATATGACTAAAATGATAGCAATTGTTTGCAACAGGAGACACGACAAACACTGTCTCACCCTTACACACACCCACACAATGGACACAAAAATCAATGGTTGTTGAGTAGTAATTTCATGCCTTAAACCAGTGCTTGGCAATTTTCTTTGGTGATTGATCATTTTAAAATTTTTTTTCTTTTAATGGCTTATCAACATCTGCAGGTTATTTAAAGCCAGAAAATAGGTTTAGATCAATGATTCCCAACGTGGGGTGCATGGTAATATTTTGATGGGGCATGTATAGGATGTGCACCCTTCGGCTTACTACAACAACAGAATAAGGAGACAATTCAAGAATGAGTTATTAACAGTGAATTGTTTTTTACTGAGTTTGCATGAGAGTCTTATTGTTAGTGTGTGTTAATACATATACAGTATGCAAACATAAAAATATTTTGTGTGTATGTACATACATGTGTAATTGGCATACAGAGTATTTCTCATCTCCCCACACTTGGGGAGTGATGGTATGGTTTTGTAATGAGACAGTAACTAATTATCCAAATTCAACGACTGTTGCAAGAAATTTGTCATTACCATTTCCATCTTCATATTTATCTGAATGTGGCTTTAGTGCTATAAATGATTTGTTATTGAAGAAAAGAAATTGACTGGATAACACTAAACAAGGAAACTTGAGGCTTAAGCTGACTAAAATGGTGCCTAATATGGAATCTATCTGTAGTAGGCATGTCACACAAGGATCTCACTAATAGTCATTTTGTGATGAGCTCAAATTTCATTTTGCATTATTATTTCATGATTAAAATGAACAAAGTATATTACAGAATAACCTTTCAATAAAATATTTTATATTTCTGCCTTTCAGTTCTCTATTATGTTTTGAAACTATATATATATATATATATATATATATATATATATATATATATATATTTTTACTGTCATTTTGTTTTTTTAATTTTCTCTTTCATGGATGCCATGATCTTTGGATGCTTGTTTAGAGACCAAGTTAATGGCCTTTTAAGCTTCCTTTTGAATATGTAAGAATTAAATATTACAGTGTGAGACCAGAATTTTAGAAATACCAATAATAATAGAATAATAGAAATACCATATAATGGGGTGTGGCCCAAAATCAGTTGGGAACCACTGGTTTAGAATTCCAGAATGTTTTGGAGATAATGATTTCTACTGATACAAGAGTCTTCCTAATGAACCCATAGCTGGAGAGAAAAGAGATGGATTCATACCTTTCCCAAGGCTATTTGAACATAAGTGAATGTAATGAACCCAACTGGAATTGGAACTCAGTTCTCTGATTTCTAATTCTGAGCCATTTATCAATTACCCCATAGCACATCAAAGCTTATAGCATCTGGTATTCCCAAGCAGTTAGCCATCTAGGTAATGGCCAGGCTTGACATTGCTTAACTTTGGCGATCATATGAGAAATGGTATCTCACCATGATATGGCTGTAACCCCTTTTTTTGTGTGTAACACTGTCTTTTCAACATTGGGTATGTAGAACACACACCAATCAATAATTTCTTAACAGATTAAATCTAAATTACAGAGTGATCCAAAAGTCTTGTCATACCTTACCAAAACGTAATGAGAATAAGTAATACAGTAATACAAAGCACATGTACTGGATTCACTTTCATTGATGCTGTCACATATTGAGAAGGTGTGTATGAACGCCATCATTTTCCTGTAGGAGCTCATGTCAGCCATCTGAAACAGAAAATGATTATTATATGGGGGTGACAAGACCATCCTGTAGAAATATTCAAAAATTTTCATTTGTATCCCCCTAAACCTTAAAATAAACAACCAGCATTCATCTTTATTTTTTGTTTTAGCAATATTTTGTTAAAGTTGTTAAGCTCAAAAATTTAATGGTTATATTTTTTTTGTAGAATTTGCCATAAGCTTATTCAATTAAAATTCATGAGAAAATTCAAATAGGAAAATCATGAATTTTTTATGGTTATTTTTAATAAATATGAATTTAGGTCAATGCTTAAAGAAGTAAGGGGGTACAAATGAAAATATTTAAAACTGACAAGATTTTACTGTATATTTACATGTGTTTAACACTATTCCAAATAGCAAATGTTGACTCCCAAAAGTTAAACCATAAATATGTATATATACACCTAAAATAAAGCCAACTTTATTCCACCCCAACATCCAGAAGTTAACGTTTCTTTGCATGCAATAATGTCAGAAAAAGTTTTCCTTCTTCCCATTTTGTTTTCTTTGTTTTTATCTAATACTTTGACTTTTGATAATCTATTGTTCGCTCTATTCTTTCCTCCTTATTTGCTTTTCGCTGAAACAGATGTCAAGTGACTGATTAAAAGACTTACCACTTTCAAGCC